CTAGTTATTCTTTCCACAGACCACTCTGCTTCTACAGAACAGTTAACTCTGGCTTTCTGTGCACTTACTTGTGACGGTACAAAAAGTCATTTGCTTGTCTCTGTCATAGTTACTGGTGGTGGCACACCAGAGCTGCTTATCTTCACGTTCATCTTCTGTGCAGCTGTTGTAATACTTGCCATTGTAGGTGAATGGGAAGACACACCTTGGAGGCTCTTTACTTGAAGCTGTTCCTGGGGGAGAAGAGAAGGAAAAGGAGAAGAGTTTTTAATCTGCAGGAAGGGTTTCCTCATCTAGATACTCTTATTTGCTTGTTCTCAGAAGCTAGTTGGCCCAATCCCTTTTTAAAATGCCAGTTGATTTTGATTCTGTCATTGCCAACAAAAGTATTTTCTTACTTCCCACCAACTGCTGTTTCAAGTAAGCAACAAAGCCTCACTAGACAAAGGAACAAAATGGACTCTGGTTGGAGGCCCAGAAGCCGAATATCACATGCTGAGAATGCAGCTGGAGCCACTGTTTGCCTCAGGTTTTGCCAACGTATACCACTGAGCATTCACAATGTTCACTCAGAAAATTGTAGGTAAAATCACCTCTGAGCATCCTTCCAGGGACTTTGTCTCTTGTTGTTTTCTCCTGCCTCTTTCTATCCTTACCTGAGTCCTCCTGACAGAACTTCCATTTTTTGTCTGCATCGTAGTTACTGCTGGTGGCACACCAAAATTTCCCATCAGTTCGTCCATCTGCAGTGCAATTGAGGTAAAACTTTCCCTCATAAAGGAATGGAAAGACACATGGTGGACTTTCCACACTCTTATCAGGACCTGATTTTTAAACACATTGGAGAAAGGAAGAGTATTCTTATAGACAGCAATATTATCTCAGCTTTATTAACTTGTTTGCTTGCTCTCAATGACCAATCAGTCTTGTACATTTAGTGAAGGACTATACAGTTCACAGTCAAAGAAAACTTGCTCACCATTGGATGGCTATAGCATCAAATGGTGTTGTCCATAAGTGAAAGGATGATATACGTAACACCACAGACAATACTTCCACCACAATTCACAGGCAGTGCTGAAGTCAACGGAGTCAACCTATCCAAGTTAATGAGGAAATCACATTATATTGATCCCCTATGTGGACCATTTACACAGAGATGGTTCTAATTATTTCTTGCTCATGTTTATATTTCTCTTGACCATCTATGATCAATGTGTGACTGATGTGTTTAAGTACTCTGGCATATGTGTAGCCTTGAAGAAAATGCACAATCCCAGAGCACCATCAGAAAGGGGATTGGCAGAACATGTCAAAGTTTTTCATGCCTAGAAGACCCTGGGAGAGTCACTGTACTGTAGGAGGGTCACTGTGAGTCAAAAACAAGTTGATAGCCATTATTTCCATACAGAGAAATAATGGACAAAGAAACACATTAACTATCAATGGCTGAAATCCTGCCATGCATCTTTACACTGTGCAGTGAAGACGATATTATCACCCTGTGACCTTCATCTTTATTGTAATTTAATTGACAACTTCCTTTTCTTCTCTTCCAGTTTCTGAGACTCCCTAGGGATCTCTTTTGCCCCAAGGAAGCCTTTCAGGGTCTGAGGATGAGGGTGGGGTCTTCAATATGGTCCTGATGTGGTGGTGGAACTACTAGTGCGATCTTCCAATATAAAAGGGCTCATTGAATGGGATTTTGCTCCTAGTTTTATGACACATTAATGCAGGTACCTGGCAGGTAGACTCTGTGATGCATAAAGCTGATAAAATGAACATATGTATAATAAACAACAAAAGAAGCAGAGGGTGAAAAGTCATCAATGATTCACTCAGCAATCTTTTGAGCATCCCGGTAGATGTCGTGCTTTTTTTTTAAAAAAAAGTCAGAAATATATTTCAAGCGTGCCATAAGAACTACCATAAAGAGAACTGTGAACAATGCTGTAGTGGAATCAGGTCTCAGAGGGTCGAAGCAATGCAAGCATTCACGGGGATGATGACATTGTGGCGTTTGCCCTAGTGGCCCCTGCGTGTCTTTCCGTCACAAAGGCTCATGTTGCGTTTTCTTCTCACTGCCACGAATGGATTATCTCAATCCGGAATATAAATGACGTTTGTCAGAACACTTGTCTTATGAACAGAAACAGAACTTATTTATTGAAGTGAAGCAGATTGAATAATAACAGAAGTTTCTCAGATGCACATTATACATAAGCAAATCATCAACAGTCCACTCAAAACATAATTTTTTTCTCTAGCAATATCATTACCACCTTCTCTACCTATAATTCTAACCAGCTCTATCTCTCTCAGTATCTCATCTTTTTCTCTATCAGTATCAGTTTCAGTTCCCCCCCCCTCTCTCTCTCTCTCTCTCTGACTAATCAGCTCTATCTCTATCTGGATCTCATCCCAATCTCTGTCTCTCGCCAAGCCTCATGTAGCTGCTGACTCCACCTCTCCAGTCCTCTCATAGGTTCATGCAAATCAGGTCATGAATAGAAATGGCATGAGTGACGTGGGCCGTCACCACAGATATCATCTGCAACACCCCGAGACTTCTCTGTTCCTTCCAAGCTCAGCTGATGAGTGACATATCATCTGCAACACCACCAGACTTCTCTGTTCCTTCCAAGCTCAGCTGCAGCCTTCACCGGAGCAAAGGAGAAGGGGATGGATTCATCCCACAACTCTATATATTGTTGTGAGCTATTCCTGTTGATGCTTTTGAATTGTGGTGCTGGAGGAGACTCTTGAGAGTCCCCTGGACTGCAGGGAGAACAAACTTATCCATTCTAAATCAAGCCTGAGTGCTCACTGGAAGGACAGATCCTGAAGCTGAGGCTCCAACACTTTGGCCATCTCAGAAGAAGAGAAGACTCCCTGGAAAAGACCCTGATGTTGGGAAAGTGTGAAGACAAGAAGAGAAGGGGATGACAGAAAATGAGATGGTTGGACAGTGTCATCGAAGCAACCAACATGAATTTGACCCAACTCCGGTAGGCAGTGGAAGACAGGAGGGCCTGGCATGCTCTGGTCCATAGGGTCACAAAGAGTCGGACACAACTAAACAACTAAACAACAAGAAAATTCCTGTTTCTTGGCAAAGTTTTGGAGGGTGGCTTGAACTTGAACAAAGAACCATCCACTTTTCAAAAGAGCCACTCCTAGTGGAACTGAAACTTTGTTGGTGATAGACTAATACAGCAATATGTGGTTTTTAAATTTCCTCTTGGGTGTACGGTTATCAATCCCCCATTTCCCTTTTAATCCTCCTTTTGCTTTCTCTAAGCAAACAATGCTTCCTTTGAGGGATAAGGAAAAGAGATGGGAAGAATACCATCCCTGCTACACTAGCTGGAGTTGCTTGGAGAACAGTCCTGTAACTTCTAGGGAGCTCTCTCAAGACCCTTCATCATCTGGGAAAGATACACAGAATATTATTCCCCACTGATGGTTAAAGGACTTACCTACTGATAATTGGAAATGGATTCTCAGTATTCTTAAAGCAACAAGCACCTTATGTGATTCTTCTCCTACCTGTGACATTGCAGTATTTCCATTTTTTGTCCATCTCATAGTTGCTGGTTGTGGCACACCAATGTTTCCCATCACTCCTGCCCTCTGTAGTGCACATGTTGTAAGACTTGTCTTTGAAGATGAAGGGGAAGACGCAAGATGGACCCTCAATGCTTGGATCTGGCCCTGATAAAAAGGAATGCCGCAGAAAGGGATTATGGACTGCACAGAGTCCCCATCTAGGGGAGAGATGACATCAGAATAATACTGACACATTGACTTCAGAACACAGCTTGGTAAAGTTCAGAACACAGCTGGGAAAAGTTACCACCCTACTGATGATTTCATCATAGAATCATCATCATCAGAGAGCTGCAGAGCTGGAAGGTACCCTATAGATCAGTTGTCCCCAACCTTGGGCCTCCAGATGTTCTTGGACTTCAACTCCCAGAAATCCTGGCCAGCAGAGGTGGTGATGAAGGCTTCTGGGAGTTGTAGTCCAAGAACATCTGGAGGCCCAGGGTTGGAGACCACTGCTATAGATCATCTGAGTCCCTCTCAAGGAGGCACAATGGAGAATTGAACTCCCAATCTCTACCTAAACCACTGAACTATCCAGCATGCTAATGTAAGTCTTGCCAGTAAATTCCAGCTGGTAGCATTCCAGGCTGCCTGTTCAATCATGAGAACCAGAAGCTGATTAATGACCAGCAATTTGGTGCCATGATGTCCTCCATTTCTCTTACACAAGTATAAATTACTAATAAGATTCTGGCCTTTGCTGGATGAAGCTCCCAAAATCCTCCAGTCAGAATGGTCAATAGCTCTACCTCTTTATATTCTCCTTTTCCATCTATAGCCATCTGTATAGTTCAGTGGGTTTAATATCCAGCTGTGGAGCCAGAGGTTGGGAGTTTGATTCCCCACTGCCTCTCAGGGAGAACAGCCAGGTTGTATAGCCTCAAACTGCACAGTCTCAGAGCGCCCTCAGATAGTAAAGTATCCAAGATAACCCTGAAAGGGTTGCTATAAGTCAGAATTAACATGTCAACACACAGTCTATAACTATTTTTCACTCTACCTGCAAGGCCAGTCCTTTCGCTGAATATATAACTGTTTCTTGTTCTTACCTGCAAGGCCAGTCCTTTCGCTGAATACACCTAGAAGGTGACTTGGATCAGAAGTCAGAATTTGTCCCTCCCTCCTGCAACAGAACCTTAATGCTGACAGAACAGGGAGCACAAGAAAAGACAACCACTTATCCAAACCTCTCCAAAGCCTCTTTCATCCCATTTTGACAGATGCAGGGATTAAACGTGTTGATCCATCCTCCGTTTCCTGATCACACTGGAACCAACACAAACGGCTCTGCTGCAACCACGTGTACATTGTTACCTCCTCTTAACCAAACTTCTCCAAAGCCTCTTTCATCCCCTTTTGCCAGCTGCAGGGATTAAATGTGTTGATCCATCCTCCGTTTCCTGACCACACTGGAACCAACACAAACGGCTCTGCTCTCCTCCGCCTACCTGTAATGTTGCAATACATCCATCTCTTGTCCAAATCATAATCGCTGGTAGTGGCACACCAGTGTTTCCCGTCACTCATGCCCTCAGTCGTACAGGTGCTATAGAAGTTCCCCTTGTAGATGAATGGGAAGGCGCAAGTTGGACTCTGTAATTTTGGATCTGGTCCTGAAGTTTGAGACAAAAAATTTTTTCAGGGATGGACACAGGGATCATCTGTAACAGGAACAGGTGACTTTTTAGACCAGGAGAAGGCAAATCCATTGACTCTCAGTGCAGCCAGAAGTGACAAATGCTAAGCATTGCAAACCAGTAACATCCAGGGGGATGCATTTCACTCACCCAGAGGATAGAAAAAGTCACTTTTCGGTCTGCAACTCACTGAAATCTGACAAAGCTGCCAGCTGGAGACAATGCCGGGGGGTGGGAAATGGTGGAAAAACTGGTGTTAGGTATTGCACATGTTGCCAAGTTTAGAATTTTTGGTTAAATTCTTCTAGCTGCACAGAAGACGTCCGGGGAATTCACAGAGCAGAACAGCTTCATGTTCCCCTGAGTAGACCATCCCTTTTTATTTTCTCTTCAACTGGCACTTTTAGTCTCAATGATTCAATTTGAGACATTTGAACTGCAAAGAATAAAAAACCAATTCCTTTTCTTCCAGTACTGAACAAATTAAAAAGCAAACGAACAAAACATGACTGCCTGGAGCTACAGGCCTCCACAGAGTCATGTCTTTCAACAGACTCAGGAGAGGGGTGGGGAGGCAGAGCAGAGGGGCAGGGCTCTCCCCAAATTAGAGGCAGGGGAGGAACTACTGGTTAGTGTTGTTAGTGACTGACAGTTGCCCCAGCTGAGAAAGTACCTTCCCAGCCACACCTACTAGAGCTAACATGCGAGGTTGCAAATACTCCAACGGAACATTCTCCACCCAGCCTTACCTTCTTCACACATTACCTTTGGGGGGGGGGAGAACTGAGGTGAAATTATTTGTGCTGAAATGGTGACCTTGGAGGAGGAATGGAAATATTTATCTCTCCAAGTGAGGAATAGGGAAGTACTAAGAGAGGAAACCCAGGTCGAAGCTAGCAGGAGAACCTTTGAATCAACATAATTCTCCTCCAGAGCTGCTCAGCCTGAGATGGTCACCCCGCCAGAAGACCTAGGAAAGCACATTGATTCCTACAGTTGATGCCCCAAGACCTGGCAACCCTATCATGGAAGCACAAGCAGTAGAGGCATGATACCAGGGGGTGGGACCTGAACAATAGCCCCACTTCCTGACAGATTTGAGGAATATCAACACATGTAGGGCATATGAAGGGAGGCCTCAAAAATCCTCTCTAGCCTTTTTAATTGAGCTTTCCCCTCTCAGCTTAAGTTCTACAGGAGCTCAGGTCTGTTTTTTTCTTCTCCCACCTTTTGATTCCCTTACCTGAAACCTGACAAAACTTCCCTTTGCTATCCATATCGTAGCTGTCCGTGGTGGCACACCACGGTCTCCTGTCTCTTCTCCCATCTCCAGTGCAATTACTGTACTCCTTTCCCTTGTAAGTGAATGGGAAGATACAAGGCGGACGCTCCCGGATCTCACCAGGCCCTGGATTTTTATTGGAAAACATAATGAGCAACATTTTTCTACATAATATTTTAATACAATGATACCTCGCTAGATGACGACCCCACTGTACAACGAATCCGCAGGACGGTGACTTCCATACACTGCATTTAAGAAGATTCTAAGCAAAGCTTGGCCCCTCAAAAGTAATTAGTAGACATTCTAGTTCATTTTTAATAAGTAACTCTTGTTATTCAATATTAACCAAGATAATTACTTTTAGTAACATTTGAAAACTGCTGAGCTTTGGTACAAAGCGCACTTAAGTAGTGGTGCCCTCTCCAGAACTACAAAAGTAACTAAAACAGTTCCAGCATATGAAAAAAGTTGCAGAGTAATCATTCCCAGTGCTGATATCAAAGTATAACATAGTTTTCCAGAAGTTGTTGCACAAAGGAACAAGCAGCTTCTTAGTTTGTACCAAGTAATTTCCAAGCTCTGGTTCAAAGAGATGTGTTGCCTCTCACACCCAGCTGCCTACCATTGTTCCCATTTCTCCTACCTGTGGGCTCACAGTACGTCCACCGCAAGTCTTTATTATAGTTCTGGGTGAGAGAGCACCAGGGCGTCCTGCCAAACATCCCATCCGTTGTGCACGAGAGATAGAGCTTTTGGTTGTAGATGAAAGGGAAAACACAAAGGCTCTTGGGATCGGCATCTAGTAAGGAAGGAGGGGAAAGCGGCATTCAAAGGAGGCAAAAGTTGCTGTGAATTGTCAAAGTGAAAATAAAGCATCCATTCATGTGTAGGTGGCCTGGTATGCGCTAAGCACTAGGAGTGTGATAATAAATACTCAGCAAAAATTCTCAGCGATTTTCCAAGTCACAAAGAAGAGCAGTGAAGGACAACAGGAGGCTCATCAAACTCTAGTATACTCTAGTTCCCAACCTTGGGTGACCCAGGTGTTCTTGGACTGTAACTCCCAGAAACCATGGCCAGCATAGCTGATGGTTAAGGCTTTTGGGAATTGCAGTCCACAAACACGTGGGTTACCCAAGGTTGGGAACCACTGATCTAGTAGGTCCTTTCTTTCTGCTAGGATCTCTCTCTCCAGCACCCGGAAAATCTAGTGGAGAATATTTTGCACACAACATACGTGGCCCAAATCGCTTATGTCTGATGACAATAAAAATATATCCTTTGTCAACCATGTTTTAGTATCTATGTTGCCCATCCACATACTTTCAGCACTTCTGTGCTGGACACACCTATGAAAAATATTCTTGTATGCAGTTATGTACCCACGCAATTAGAGACGAAAGCCCACTTATTCCTTTCTCACATTATTCTATTCCATGGCCCCTTTCGTTTCTTCTTTCCAGAGATTACGAACCCCCTTCCTCTTAAATCAAGGGTGGGCAGATTTCAGATGTCCAAGGGCCACATGTGCCAGTCCCAGGGCCTTGTGGGGCTACACTCACAACTCCTAGCCCCCAAAAAATATTATTTTAAAAAGTGGGAATTTAAATTGAAAAAGTCTTCTTGCACCCTCTAGTGGCCAATTTAAAAAAAATTAAAGCAGGAAAGTGATGGTAATAATAATAATTGTGTGCTGTCAAAATCTTCTCAAGGTTTTCCGGGCAGGGAGTACTCAGAAGTGGTTCACACTTCTTCTGGGGTCCCTCTGGTCTGTGCAGCTTGTCCAAGGCTACACAACAGACTGGCTCTTCTCTGAGGAGGCACAACGGGGAATCAAACTCCCAAACTCTGGCTCTGAAATCAGATACTCAAGTCACTCAGCTATCTAGCCATTCTGGCAGCCCTTCTAGCCCCCTAAAAAGGCCGGGCAGAATTTTCAAGTGCAAATGGAGCAACCCTAGTTTGTTTTGTCTGAAGACAATCTTCCGTGGTCACATGGCCAGTGCGACTTAGACACGGAACGCCGTTTTACCTTCCCACTGAGGTGGTACCTATTGATCTACTTGCATTTGCATGCTTTCGAACCGCTAGGTTGGCAGAAGCTGGGACGAGCGATGGGAGCTCACTCCGTCGCGTGGATTCGATCTTACAACTGCTGGTCTTCTGACCCTACAGCACAGGCTTCTGCAGTTTAGCCCACAGCGCCACCACGTCAGTTACCCCAACTTAATAAGCTGTTCCATCAAAATTCTCAAAATTGGTTTTGAGATGGTTCTCAAACATGACAAACTATGCCTCCGGCCCCTAAAGGATACATATAGGCTTTTCAAGCCAGAAACATTCCTCAAGTATTTTGAGCTATGGGGGGGGGGCTGGGAGGCCAAATTTGGGGCTCTGATACCTTGCAGGCTGCCCACAAGGCCCCATGCTGTCCACCTCTGTCTTAAACCAAGGCACACAAATATGTGACACTCTTACCTGTGGCATTACAGTATACCCATTGCTTATCCACATCATAGTTGCTAGTGTTGGCACACCACAGCTTCCCATCACTCATGCCCTCCGTAGTGCATGCATTGTAGGTGTTGCCCTTGTAGATGAATGGGAAAACACAAAATGGATGATCTTCCTTTGGATCTGGATCTGGAGTTTCTAAAAAAACAGAAGAAGTTGAGAGTAAGGATTTGTGGAAATTTTCCCACCTACGGCTGACATACTGGATCCAACATATAATAGTGGCAGACACCAAAAGCAATACAAAAGGATAAACAGTTGCCGTTTGGATGCTGTCCAAATTTTTCTCTCTCCACCCTCAGCTGCTGCTAATTTGTGTACTTTCCAGAAACTCAATAGAAAGAGGAACCAAGGGGGAAAGAAACTGGAGGCCTATGATCAAATTTGACCTTCTTGTGAATTAGCTTGGAGCTGCCACCTCGCAGGTATGTCATCCTGTACCAGTTAGATGTAGGGAGTCACTAACATCTACTCAAAACATTTATAGGAAAGGCAGCTTCTAACATTCCCTGTGGGATCTTACCTGTATTTTCATCTCCTGCCTGTTGATTTCCTTACCTGCGTAATCTTGACAGAACTTCCATTTCTTATGAGCATCATAGTTGCTGGTGGTGGCGCACCATAACGTCCTGTTGTTCTGCCCATCAGTGGTGCAGTTTCTGTAAATTCTCCCCTCAAAGATAAATGGGAAGATACAAGGTGGACTTTCCACAGCCTCATCAGGTCCTGTTATTTTAATAAATAAAAGGCAATAAAAGCAAATGGGAAAGGTCGTTATTTCTTTATTAGAATTTGCACATGGGTTCCAATTCTCTGCCTAGGGTGTCCGAATGCAGCTTTTATAGAAAGTCTTGAGGTCACACAAGGGGAAAATCTAAACAAAAAGTTCATCATTTTTCTTGTACAACAACAGGAGATGTCTCACTCTTATCTGGTCAAAACTAAGAGTGGCTAATGTATAGAATGATACTATCCACATAGCAAGTCCCAGAAATCCTGTCCAGCACAGCTAGTGGTGAAGGCTTCTGGTAGTTTTAGCCCAAGAACACCTAGAGACCCAAGTTTGGAAACAACTGGTCTACAGGACCAAAGATTCCACATTCTTGTTCTACAAAATTTGGATAGTTCCATCTTTTATCACCAAGAACATTGTCAGCAGCATCTGATTTGACCTTCCTTATGTTGCATTTGTTATAATATGTCTCATCTCTCACCACTGAGCTTCCTCCTGCTCCTCCCATTCTTCCTACCTATAGATTCACAGTATGTCCACTGAAGGTCTGCATTATAGTTTGTGGTGAGAGAGCACCAGGGTTTCACACCAGACATTCCATCTGTAGTGCATGAGAAGTAGAACTCGAGGTTGTAGACAAATGGAAAGACACAACGTTCCCTGGGATCTACATCCAGTTCTCCTAAGCAGAAAGAGGGAAGGAAAGGCCAAGACATTTGGGTACAGTAGATTTAAAGCAGGCACAACTGTATTCCAGAAGGTAGAGAGCTGGGCTTGAATATAACGCCCATCTCATCTCAGCCAATTTACAAAGTCATGATGTTGAAATCCAACAAGAACAGATTACACCGTGTACAGTATGAATTCTCCATCCCAAATTCAAATTGTGATTCAATGTGTCATCAGAAGGTTTAATCTCTAATTAGAAATGTTTATTGTCAAGGTAAAAAGCAAGGTAGGGAAGAAAGTGGGAGCCACATGTATGTGTCCTGTGCTGAAGTTGTTATGCTACTGCACAACACAAATTTAAACTTGTTGAGATTCACACTTCTTGAACAAGCACAGAGGGTAACAGTTAATCCACCAGATGTTCAGATGTTCAGATTGTTCTCATGCAGTTCTCAACTCTCTCACACACAAACACACAAACGGGAGGAATAATGTATATTTTGAATGGTGTACTTCAAGAGAAAATGTATTTGGGGAAGAAGCCCTGTGTATTTATATATTTGCTGAAATGCAAATTATTGCGCAGATTAATTTAAGTACACATGAATAGAAACAAACTGACTCATGTACTCTTATGACTAACGATCTGTGAGAACAACCACAGATTTTGTCTTCTGCAGCACACACAGCATAGACGGCTGTCTGTCCCTCTGCCTTTCATGAAACCGCAGCCCTGGGAAGGGTATCAATCATGCACACATATATACACCTGGGCATATGCACATCTAGACAGAGACTCATACATCCTTGCACACATAATTTGCCTGAACCGTTTGAGAGAAAATCAGCATGTGGAGGAATCCTGCTGTTATTTCTGACTTATTTCTGTCTGATAGGATTTCCCTTCTGCCATTCAGTCTCTCCATACACTCTTCCATACACTCCTCACCATCCAGTTGGGCTGCGAGGGGCACCCAAAGGGATTTTCTCTGTGCAGAAAGAGATGCATGGAAGTGTCTCTCTCTCCCCCCCCCTCTCTCTCTGTCCGCAGAAAATGGAAGCAAATGTCAGGACCAGTGGGACCCAATGGTGTCAGAGAAGGGGTGGGACTTGCAAGCATGGCTCCACCCTGAGTCCATTCCAACCCTCCAGGACCAAAATTATCTAACACTCTTGTACTAAGACCTATATATTTCTTTACTGATGTAAGCAGGGCTTACACTGCAGACCCACCAGCTTCTAGTAAACTTCTTTCAGTGAGAATCCAGGTCTTCAACACAGTCTACACACTATCTGATTTCAAAAACTACTGGAACACAATTATACTGAATTAAATTCTCTTGCATGAGTTTTCTGATGTGCAGTTATGTTAAAGAAAAATTTTGACGAACAGTTCTGATACTCATGGGATAATTTTATTGTGCCCATATTCCACAAAATATGTACAGGCATGAACATTGATTCATTTCCACCATTGCCTTGCCCATCATGAGCACTGCATCTAACAAACAAGAAGCTAATACAGATGGATGGTGCCAAAGGTGTTCATACCTGGACCGTCCCAGATTGCTATGCATTCCTATGTGATATTTGGTGGATTTCTTTAGCCAGTTTCCTTCCTTTGTTATAATTAAATCCCCTCCTGTTAAACTGGCAAAGATGGTCATTCTGCTCTCTTCCTACCTGTCACATTACAATACACCCATTTCTTATCCACATCATAGTTGTGGCTGGTGGCACACCACAGTTTTCCATCAATCCTGCCCTCACTCGTGCATGCACTGTGGGAGGTGCCCTTGTAGATGAATGGGAAGACACAGGACAGATTCTGGATATTTGGATCTTCCTCTGCAGATACCTTAGGGTCTGGATCTTTAAAATAGAAGAGAAGGTGAATCCAAGATTTGTTGACACACAACTTTTCCCTAATTTCACCCAGGCACATTACAACTGGGGTAAAACATGCCTTTGTAGCTAAATGCAAAGATGCAAGGTGGACTTTCCATGTTCTCATCATGTTGTCACAATATTATTATTATTTTCACAGAAAGAAAGAAAGAAAGAAAGAAAGAAAGAAAGAAAGAAAGAAGAAAGAAAGAAAGAAAGAAAGAAAGAAAGAAAGAAAGAAAGAAAGAAAGAAAGAAAGAAAGAAAGAAAAAGAAAGAAAGAAAGTCAGATAGGAGTGCCAAATGGCCCCCAGCTTCCTCCACATTTCCTCTTCCATTTCCCACCTGAAGGTTCACAATACGTCCATTGTAAGTCAATGTCATAGTTGTTGGTAAGGGAGCACCAGGGCTTCTTGTTGGACATCCCATCCGTTGTGCATGACGAATAGGATGTTTGGTTGTAGATGAAAGGAAAGACACAAGGACCCTTGGGATTGGCATCTAGTCCTAAATAAGTGAGCAGGTAGAAAGACAGAAAGGCCAGGTAATTGTTAGGAAAATATTGGTACAATACACAAAAAGGCAACTGTGCTTTAGCAGACAGAGAGTTGACTTTGGATCTGCAGATGTAGAGGGGTCAGGGGCAGGAAGAACTGTTGCAAATTTTATCTCAGCAAGTGCTATTATTATTATTATTATTATTATTATTATTATTATTATTATTATTATTATTATTATTATTACACAAGTTGCCACCATATCCAGCCTGCTATACTTGGAAATTAGGCAACTTGGTGTGTCTTTATTTGATATGAATACGGAATTTATGTTGAAGTTTTGCTTAATGAAAACAGATCCATCACCTAGATGAGATTAACTTATGCATGAACAAATGCAATTATATACACTCACATCCCACTTCATTTCCAAACAAAGAAATCCACACAAAGACAAGTTGCCACCATATCCAGTTAGACCTCAGCCTGCTATACTTGAAAATTAGGCAATTTGGTGTGTCTTTATTTGATATGAATACGGAATTTATGTTGAAGTTTTGCTTAATGAAAACAGATCCATCAACTAGATGAGATTAACTTACGCATGAACAAATGCAATTATATAAACAGATTCTCCAGTTCCCAGTGATAACTAACCCTAAATATATATAATTGAAATCATCACACAATCTTGTTGATTTATTTTTGCCCCATTCCTTTTCTCTCCTTTCTCTGTGCTCTCCTTACTCTCAATATTCATTCGCTAGTGTCACATCAATTCTTTTTAGAAATAGCTTTCCAATGGCCAAAGTACTGTAACTCAAAGTAACTCAAATCTTAAAGATCTTTATTTTCACGAGTACTCATAATTATGGCAGTCATTGTCTGCCATCATTTCTCTTACTGATGTCAGCACAGTAGCTCCATTTACGATCCCGGTCATAATTTCTTGTGGTAGCACACCAAAATCCTCTTTTCTCCTCTTCTGTGCAGGTGTAGTATGTCTGGTTCTTGTAAACAAAGGGGAAAATGCAAGGCTGACCTCCAGAACTGCCCCCATGCTCTGAAAACATGAAAAAGATGAAAGATGTGAACAACCAGAGCTGTTGATTCAAGAAATAGATATAGATGCAGAAAATATAGGCATGGTGACCATCAGCTAATCTTTCTGTCCTTACTTCCCATTTTCATACTATCAAACATGCAGATAAGACATTTCTGGCAAGGCATGAACCACTCACCCTGAAGAGAACAGTGCTTCCATTGGCCATCGTCATCATAGTTAGAAGTTGTACCACACCATAATTGCTCATCAATAGCTCCATCTTTGGTGCAGGATGAGTAAGATCTCCCATCAAAAACAAAAGGGAAGACACAAGAGACAACATCTGAAAGCAAAGAATAAGAAATCAAGGGGAAAATCAGTATGGGCTCACTGAAGAATCAAAGCACACAAAAAGTGATTAGCATCTTGCTAATCAATTACACTGCATTAGAAAAGGAAAAAGGACTAGAATCTTGCTAATCAACTCAGAATATGCTTACAGAAATCTGCTTTCTGCATATGGATTACAGTATAGTTATTATATATTACCTTACTTCAAAGATGCTCAAAATTTGGTTCTGGGGCCACATGTTCCCATCTTGTTGAAATGTCTTTTATTATGTAAAAACTGTTTTTATATATACTTATTGTATTATTTTATGCTGTTAGCCGCCTAGAGTGGTCTTAACTGACCAGATAGGCGGGATATAAATAAAATAAAATAAAATAAATAAATGTGGCATCCTAGGCCATTGGGTTCTTCTATCTCCCACCCACCCGCCCCCAAAAATGATGTGTTGCAGCTTCTGGATGTTTTCAAGAGCTGCAATTCCCTTTTAAAATAAATGAACTGCAACTCACCAGTTAAACACAAATACACAATTCACCATTTTTAAACTTGAAAATGGATTTCCCATTTTTTATTTTTTATTTTTGCTGGGGAGTTCCAGTTTTGGAATCCTGTGTATTCCTTGGGGATCCCTGGTGCCAAAGAAATGGCCATTAACTATTACATTTCCTACCTCTGCCTTCCTTGGACCAAGTCTGGAGGTTATAAGCTCAGCAAATTCCCTTTTTGAGATCTGATATTTCAACTGCACCTTCAATTAATATTATCTGAATTATAGCCCAAATGGCACTCCAAAATTGCCTTGAGTTATGAGCAAAATTATGTCCATTCATCCTTGCTTTAAATGTAGAGTTTCCCCTGTTTGGAGATGTAATAATTCCTGCTTCCATGAGACAGCCTAAGGATAAGAGAGCTGATGCATTGGATAAATGTCAGAGCTTTTAATATTTTATTGATTGCATTTTAAATCTACAGTATTTAAAATGGAAATTGTATATATTAGGAATTAAATATGCACTACAAATCCCAACTATATATGGAACTGCTGGATAGCTCAGTGGTTTAGGCATCTGGCTGAGGAGCTGGACAGAGGCTGGACTCAATTCCCTTCCAGCTCTCCAGTTCTAAGATGATGATGATATTTTCAGTTAAAATGGATTAAGCTTTTTCCAAATAGATTTTCTTTATTTCTTAATCGAATGGCAAGAGTGGATGATACCTTTATTAGACCACTAACAACAAAACAAAACCAGAAGCAGATGTTTGCTTACAACTTCTGACAGCTGTTTATCAGTCTAAGCACTGCAGAGCTGTGGATGGGACACAAAACACATGAAAGTTCAAAAAATCATAGCCAGATGTGCATGCCAAGTTCCTCTGTCAAAAATAACTCAAAATGGGAGCTCAAATCTGAGGTTTAGGTTTCAGATATCAGCTCTAGTGGTGTTGATTGAAATATCTCTCCCAATCTTGTTAGACACCTCTGGCTTGAGCCTGTAAGGTTCCATCCCCTCATCCCAAATAAGAAGACATTTGCTGTTTTCAATAAATTACACATTTCAATTGCAAATTGGAGCTTCAATGGAACTTAAACCCATGCTCATAGAAATTCCAGCTTGTCCCCATGATACTTTTGTTCTGATGGTTGTTGTGGGTTTTTTGGGCTCTTAGGCCGTGTTCTGAAGGTTGTTTTTCCTAACGTTTCTAACGTTTCACCAGTCTCTGTGGGCGGCATCTTCAGAGGACAGCACTCTGTGCTCTGGTGTAGTTGGTTTGGGAGTGGAGTACAGAGTGCCATCCTCTGAAGATGCCGGCCACAGAGACTGGCAAAACGTTAGGAAGAACAACCTTCAGAACACGGCCAAAGAGCCTGAAAAACCCATAACAACCATTAGATCCCGGCCGTGAAAGCCTTCAGGAATACATACTTTTGTTCTGTCCTGCTGCAGATAAGCCAGCTCTGTGGCAAGTCATCTGAGGGATTTCTATGGCTGAAAGAAACTCTTCCAGTCCTCTGTGATTACCCCCTGAAGACATTACCTGAGACTCAAGGGGTATCCCTTGGCATCACCATTACCTGTGCCCGCTGCACTCACTGGCTGAGGATTGCAGATCACTATCAGGAAGGCCAAGGAGGGAAGCATCTTGCCTTAGCTGGCTGGTAAATTGGTAGGAAGTAAATGGATTACCAGTTCCCCTTGCTATATAATCTCTGTTTGGCCTCTCCCCATGTCGCCTTGCCAGCCAAAGTGGCCATTTCCTTCACTGTAGCAAAACTGAAGTATATAAATAATGTTTTCCCTTCCTTGTTTCTTGGACAACAGCCGTGGCTGTTTGCCATGTTCTGCAGAAGCTGTCAGGTCACCACAGACCAATGACCATTGGTGGAACAATATGATAGATTGTGTTTCCATAAATTTCCTGCTAGCTACAATGAGCCATTCTGTCACCATCTTATGTCCCCAAACCTTGTGGGTCTTCAACACCTACCATCATCACCAGCCATCATAATCAAGGGTTGAGATGATGGGAGTTGCAACCCAAAAAGACCTGGGGACCTGAAATTGGAAAAAGGCAGCCATGCTGATCCCTGTTTCCTATCAAGACCCATAAATGACTCTCTAAGGGCCATGTGGTCATGGGGCCAAGTGCCAAAACTGTCATGCACCAGAGCCATCCTATTACACTAGAGCATGAACAATTCTTGTTCTTGCTACATCCTCCTCGAAGGACTACAATTATCTGAAGTTGCAATGCAACGTGGGAAGGATCTTGATTGCCATTTCAAAGAGACACAGAGAAGCTCAATTCATCTGAATGCTTTTATAGCCAAAGTCTTGCCGTCTGAGGCTATAACCAGAGGATTTTGATTGCCATTCCTTCAAAGAGACACAGAGAAGCTCAATTCACCAGAATGCATTTATAGCCATCACCCAAAGTCTTGCCGTCTGAGGCTATAACCAATTTTTACTTGGAAATGTCAATGACAGACACCAGAAGAGGGTGGGGATTTGTCTTGCTCCAAACTGCTGTACTGTGACGGAACACACTGCTAGTTGTTTGTTCACCTAAGAGACATACAGCTGATGTTAAGAGACATACAGCTGATGTTGCGCAACATCCATGAAGATCTAGGTGGAAAATAGGCTGGACAAGAGTCCTTCTGCCCTCAGAAGACCAGCGAGGTCCATTGTACTGGAGTAACCGACTGCTTCTCATCCCTTCTTAATTCTTGTGTTGTCTCTCTTGCAATGTAACACAAGAACTGCTGGATATCTCATTGGTTTAGGTCTCTGGCTGTGGAGCCAAAGATTGGAAGTTCAATTCTCCTCCTTGACAGGAGATGAACATGATGACCCATAAGGTCCCTTCCAGCTCTGCACAAAGGCAGCGAAAATCTGACTGGTCAGGAGAATGAAGGGGATGTCACTTCATTTCAAAGTGATTGGATTACCATTTTCCATTTGTACTTGTATTTTGCTTTTTGGGGTGGGAGACTGCTGATCTGTTTTTGACAAGGGCAGTGAAAATCTGACTGCTCAGGAGAATGAAGGGGATGCCCCTTCATTTCAAAGTGATTTTGATATATCATTTTCCATTTGTACTTGTATTTTGTTTTTTTGGGGTGGGAGACTGCTGATCTGTTTGGGACCTAATTCAAGAGGATGCAGCAGGAAAGGGCATTTAAAGTGACATTTAGGAAAGGGCCTGCTCCAGACTGCAGCACAGTCTGGATTCCTCCAATAGAGATTCTCTGAAAACTCACCTGTATTCTTCTACTAAGGTAAACACACAGCAACTGTTCTCACTTAGTGACATCCAGATGTTTTCCTCCTTCATCACCATCTCTTCCGGAGGCTCTGAAATACACACAGCAACTATTCTCAGTGTCATCCAAATATTTTCCTCCTCCATCACCATCTCTTCCGGAGGCTCTGAAATAGGCAAACAAAGCATGCAATTCAAATTGAAAAGCCATTTCTCAAACTGGGCACCCAGCATTCAGAAACTGGTGCCGTATCACCCTATGCCAACAGAGATCTGTTGACATGGCAAGGCTGGTGGACTGAGCTATGTACTTCCAGGAGGCTACTGACATTGTGGGATCAGCCTGTCCAAGCATTCAGTCAGCTGACCCCAAGGACCAATCAGTGAACTTCATGGGGCTTATGAAGGCCCAGCCTCAGCTCTTGCTTCTCCATCTGAACAGGCTCTTGTGCAAATCCATTCACATTTCCCATTTACTTATTTGGATCGTGACTTTTTCTTGGCATTGAGGATGGCAACTGTGCCTGACCCACTTGGAGTTGGAGACATCTCCCCTGAGCCTGTCTGTCTGGAACCTGCTTTTTATGAAAGCTTAAGAGCATCTTTATTAGGTCTTATTTCAGAGACAAGGGCATCGCTGGTGTGGAGAATGGTGTTTAAACAGGACAGCTTGGTTCATACCACCAACTTAGCATCTTGTGCTCTTATAAGCAGTCGGCGAAATTAACCTGAGAGTTGTTGAGGCAATTCTAATTCATCTGGTTTACAGATTGTTCCAATGACGAACAGCTGAATGGAGGAAGAAGAGGGTCTCTTTTGAACTTGTGAGAAGGAAGCTACTCCAGCCTTAAGAAGTGAAAAGAGACATTGCCTGTTCTGAAGAAGACCTGTATGAAAAACAGAACAGAAAGTCACTTGTCGACACAGCTTGTTCCACCCAGCCCGGATCTCCATTCATCCAACTATGTGATAAATGGGCCTGTGGAATTCTATGTCTCCCATGGCCTTCTTCCCACAGATGGGAGTGACTATTGTTAGTTGCACTGACAGGTGGGTCTGATGTTTAATGCATGGCAGAATGCCTGGAATCCCTTGAACACTGGGATTTAACAAGAATCGAAAATATTCTACTACACTGAGTGCCTCATCTCTGTGAAGCAGCTGGCCAGCACATTGGGTTTGAATCCTTATCTTTCCCAGAACATCCAGCCCTGTGATAATTTGTTAACCCCTTCTCTGTTTGCTCCTTCAACACTTTTACCATCCAAAATTACTAAATACAGTCTTGGGGGGTGGCAAGCCATGGTTGTGTTTCCTGCTTCAGGCTTACCATATACCATGAATGAAGACAAACCTTCATTAATGGGTGACTAGCAAGCCCAGGAGGAGGGACATCACAAAAGTATCGAAGCCAGGACAGCTCGACTGACCGACCACAGCCTCAGCCTTGGCCCGGATATCTAGGCGGTAATGGGAGACAAAGGTAGACGGAGTGGGCCATGTGGCAACTTGGCAGATATAAATGATGTCCACTCCATGGAGGAAGGCCATTGAGGATGCTGCAGCTCTAGTAGAGTGAGCTCCCACTGGTTTCTCTATGTTGACCTTTAGTCCTAACGCTGACAAAAGAGACAGTGTCAAGGACGTGTATTTACAAGCTTGTGATTTTGACTCAGCAACCAGGTTATCCAGTTATCCAAATATGGGTAAACAGAGATTCTGAAAACCCGAGAAAGCGTTGATGGTCTGACCAGATGCCAGCATCCTTTTTGGGGATCGTCCCTTTTAAATTGGGGCCCATTACTGTACTGTGAAACCCAAACTCCTCCTAAATTCTTTGGCTCTTAATGCATTAGCTTCCTCCCCCCACTCCTCAATTCCAGAGTCTTAACCTTTTTGGCCCTACCTGGAAATGTGATCATCACTAGGACAGAGTGGAGCTCCTGGACTAACTTTGTTGATTATCCTGTTACAAAAGCAGATGTGTTTCTATGCCCACCAAACACCAGTTTATAATCCTGGACAGGGCTGGGGGGTCCAGTCCTTTGAAGTCCCCAGATGCTTTCCCCTGGGAGGCCTCTATGCAAGTGGCCCCCCCACCTCTCCAGCTGAAAGGATGAGCACTGGCCTACAGATTTGTAGATTGTGACATCAGCAGAAAAAAACAGAGGCTGGGCTGTTGGGGCGTTGTTAGGCAGCAGTAGCAGCAGAAATGAAAGGAAGTTGCAGGATGGCTGTATACCCATCACTGGGAGGAGCCTGCCTCAGGTCAAGGGTACAATTTTAAGATTTGGCCAATAAGGACATTATATGGGAAAGGTTGCCAAGATTCTAGTGTTGAGAGCCCATTCACAACTACCCATTGATTCTTCCTTTGGGTATGAGAGGTTCCAACTAAATCTTACACGAGCCCACCATTTTGAACCACTGTACCACCCTGAAGGTTTGGTTTGGAAGCTAAGCAGGGTCTCACCTGGTTAGTACTTGGAATAAGAGCTACCGTGTATTTAGAAGCTTGTGATTTGGACTCAGCAACCAGGTTATCCAGCTATCCAAATATGGGTAAACAGAGATTCCTCCTACTGAAAACCCGAGAAAGCATCGATGGTCTGACCGGATGCCAGCATCATTTTTGGGGATGGTACAAGGGAACAATCACATCTTTTCCTAACAGAGCCTGAATTTCATCTTCCAAAGCGGGGGTGGCCTTAATGTGGCCTGTGACAGGGAGTATATCAATGCAAGTGGCCCCCACTTCTCCAGCTGAAAGGATGAACATTGGCCTGCAAATTTGCAGATTATGACATCAGCAGAAAAAAACAACAGGCATGGGGATAAATGGGCAAGGAGGAACATCTCAAGCAAGGCCAGAGATATAATATAAGAAAGTCAGAGAGAAAAGTGTCTAGGCAAAACATTGGAAAGGAAGAAATCAACATGGACAAGAACTGATAGAAGCCCTGTTCAGTTGTTCTGAAATCCCTTGTTGTCAACACAGGTAGAGAGGGGTGGTTGGCTCTGCCCTTCCTAATCACTTTGCCTGTCTATGCAACGACCTGTCTGAAGTGAAGGGTCTTTTTTGTGTATAGACTCTACAGGTCAGCAAGAACTTTGATTTTCTGGGATCCTTGCTCTCACATAGATCTTACATGTGAACAGGATCCTCTCCAGACCTCTTGCTTTTGGCATGAACAAAGAGAGGAAGAGGGTGTAATCAGTGACCTTTCTATATCCCGGTCAACAACTTCAGTTTCCAGAACACCTGAACAGGGTGAACCTGGAAAGAATATTCTTGGTCTTTTACTTTAAATCATACAACTGGACCTTGAAAACTTCCTCTTTTTTCCTTAAGAAGGTTGTGCAAAATGAAATTAATGCAACTCTGATCTTTTTTTTAAAAAAAATGTGGTTTTTCTTTCCAACTGCTTCTGTTGAGGTCTGTTAAGACTCTCCAGTATACAACAGTTTCCTTGAAAGACAGCTTGTGGGGGAAATACACCAGTATTTTTGTATTTATCTAGACATGAATAAATGTATATCAGTTCTCCAGTTTTCAAAAAAAAGGCTTTGGGTTATAACTGAAAAAAAATACTGTGGCCTTAAACTGAGGAGTTTAACAATTAGAGGTCCACGCATGAAACATAGTAATTTCAGTAATTTGTAAAATGCAGTATTTTCAGTAATTCATGCATTATAAGTTGTTGCTGGTCCCATATTCTGTGCTGTCTTTCTCAGAGAACAGATTGAAACCCAGTACTCATTCAGATGGTCTTCAGTGCCTCCAGAAGTTACTTAGTCACCAGTTAAAGGATATAATGGCTCCCTTCCAGCAGGGGCACAGTGTCGTCATCCCGCCCATCCACCCATACAGGACATCCAACAGGTGTAAGAGTCTTCCAGGGTCCTCCCTGTATCCCTTCTTCCTCATTTCGCTCACCCTCCATTTTAGCCTTTCTCTCTCCTTTCTCTTTCTTTTTCTTCTCTCAGCTTTCTCCTCCATTCTCTGGCTTCGGCCTCACCCCAATAAGATGGTCTCAAGGGGGATCTCTCTTCTTTTTCTATAGTTGGCCTCTTCCTTAGGTACTCTCAGCCTCTCCCACGCTCCAGTCCAGGGATTCTTCAGCCAGACCCACTCCCAGCCTGGTGGCAACTGTTCCTCCCTCTTCTTTATATCAGTTGTCCCTGCCTCTGTCTCCACCCCCTTCTTCCGCTCTATTCCCGCCATTTTTCCCTGAGTCTCCTCAATAGTTAGCTTGTGTAATCCTCCTATTTCCTTTTCTGTCCCTTTGCTGCTCTGTTCTCTTGGGAGATGAGGCAGGCTGAGTTTGTACAGTGGTGCCTCGCAAGATGAATTTAATTCGTTCCGTGGTTAATATTGTCTTGCGAAAAATTCATCTTGCGTAGCGCGGTTTCCCATAGGAATGCATTGAAATCTAATTAATGCGTTCCTATGGGCAAAAAAAGTCAGAACAAAGACAAATTTGGCTTACGAAGGGTTTATTAAGTGCTCTTTAAAGCCATACATATTGTGCAGATGATTTTTTTAAATACAATCAAAAAACTTTAACTTTTTAAACATCATAGAAAAACTTTTAAAAATCAGCAAACATGAGGCAGGAACAAAAAATGGAAAACATTCATCTTGCGAAGCACGGCCATAGGAACATTTGTCTTGCGAGTCATCAACCCCCATTGCCAAAACCATTTGTCTTGCGAGTTTTTTTGTCCTGCGAGGCACCACTATACTTCCTTCTCTGCTGTATGGAGGAGGGACGGCACTCCGGCGAGAGGGATATCACTCTCACCTCCTGTCTCACATACATCCAAACATTGCATAGCCATGCTATGAGTAGTAGTAGATACTCTATATCGACTGTAATCCTCTGGTGGACTCAAGTATAGATTTATCAGGAACAGGGGGAGAAAAGAAGCTTTTGTAAAATGCTCAGAACATTTATTGACATTCGCATGCAAAGCTTCCCTGGAACAAAATTGGGGCGAGGGGGGAGGGTTTCAGCAGCTTTGATTCTAGGGGCAATCAAGCCCAACATCCAGCTGACAAACAGGAAGCGGGACAACCATTTCCACCGAGTTGCACTGCCGGCTTTCTGGGCATCTATTGGTCCAAGCAAGGAGTGCTGTGAGGAGGCTGGTTGCTGTTACCAAAGCATTTGGCAGGAGGGAAAGGATACCGAAACAGTGGGGCGTTCTGGATGAGCTTCCAAGCATCCACCACCACTTTGGCCTCTTTTTCTGCATCCCTGCCATAAACAGTCTCAAAAACAAATGCCCTGGAATCTTCTCTGTACCGGTTGAAAATGGGGTTGATTGTCCGGACAATGTTCCTCGCGTCATTTTCATTGAGACAGCGCTCTACACAGGGAGAGAGTTTGCTGAAGAAGAGGAGACAACTATTTTGGTCCTTATTGGCTAGCATCTTTTCTATGGGACTTGCCTTGCCTCCAGCCAGTAAGCGCCATTCAGCATGCTCTCGAGGCAATGAAAGTTTAGGTCTAGCTGCCATAATGTTTCCTATATTTGGGTTGTATAAGCCATCCTTTCTTCTTAATGCAGTATTCATGTCCTCCATCACTCTTGGAGGCAAAGCCCTTCTCAAATTACTCCGTGTAGGGTTTTTGCAGTATGTTGGATCCAGTCTTACAGCCACAGCATAATGGGAGTCAACACCATAACTAAGAAAGGAGGGAATAAAAACAAGAAAGAGGAGAGTCAGTGAGGAAAAAACATTGGCACCTATTTCCCTGGGGAAATGAGGCACTGCCCCTCTTCCTGCTCAGCTTAATCCTAGCATCTTATTTTTGTCTTCTTCGCTACCAGAGGTACATATGAATCCTTGACTGCTTCTCTTGCCTCTGTGTGTTAATGTAGGCGTACATGTCTCTGTGTGCTTACACATATGCTGACATTAACAGACACATGAAAGCTGTCACTGAAAAACAGGTGGCAGCAGTAGTGGAAAATAGCACTGATGGAAGATCTTTCACATACTTTATCCCTCAGAAACCTTTGATGAGGCAATCCAAAATAAAACAAGAGATAGAGCTGGAAGATGAAACTCCCAGGTCAGAAAGTGCTCCTTCAGCTACTAAGAAAGAGCAACGGGAAAGTACAAACAGTATTGTTGGTAATGAGGGAGTGGATTAATATCATAAATTGCTGAACTGCATAGATGCAGAAGAAAACTCTGATACTGCACATTACAAATAACTGGAAGATGGAATGTGGGAAGTACAAATCTAACTAAGTAGGCTCAATTTAGATAAATCAAAAAAGCCCTCTTTACCAGCCTCCCAGTTACCTGAAATATCCTTTCCCCGTCCCCATTCTTATCTTGCAGAAGCAGATATACATGGGGGTGCAACCAGCAAAAATAAAGATAGGGAGCAGTGATGGGTGAGAAATTCAGTTGATCTTAAAAGAGAAAATTAATGCAAAAGCTATCCAAATTCACACCACTCAAGTCTACACACAGCCCAGAACACGGTTACACAGTAATAGTCACAAATTTACCGATGTTTGAATATGGTTCACAAATCAATTCTACAGGAGTATTCTGATTAGTCCCCCACTCCCATATATGGAGCCCTTGCTATGCAAAGCACTCAGAGAGCCACAAAGGTACCATCTGATGTAGTCTATGATTGCTGACAGATGAGCTTTCTCCATGGAGTCGAAGGCTCCACTCCTCCAACAATGTGAGAAAGTCACACAGAAGAGGATGAAACTTGGCCATGATCTGAACATCTACAAGAGAAAAAAATAAACAACAAAAAAAGACAAAACAAAACCCATTTTATTAGAAAAATAAACATTCAAATACTGGCAACGTTCAAATACAAGGTAAGAGACTGACTGATTCTCCAAGTGGTGTTCACATTCTGATAACACATTCATGCTGGGAACTCAGTAATTTGAAATCACTGAAAAGTGTCTACAATTGATTTCAAGATAACACAAAGACTATTCTTAAAACAGGCGTACAATGCTTGAAGAATAAGTTAGCAATACACACAGGAATAGAGGCATACACTGTCTTTGGGCAACTGTGTAAATACAAATTGAATTGCATTTCTGCATAGTTGTGCATTTACAGGCTGACCATAGGGTAGAGCAAAAAGCCCAGAGGCATGTATATGTTGGAGTGCCAGTTCCCCCTTGTTGACACGGCATTCCTGCACCATGATTAGAAGTGGGGAAAGAGGAAAAAATTGAAGAAGATACTTGGTTAACAGCCCACTAAGAAAGCAGATGTGCTCTTAGAAATTCACCTGCCTTGTCTTTCTTACTATTTGATTAAATCATCAAAGTCTTATAGGTATGGTACCACTGGTTTAAGATCCAGGGAGCAGGAAGAACAGGGGGAGAAAGAGAAAGGATGGAAGATGTAGAAGAGCAGCCCCCAGCTGGCTTGGACTTTTTCTTTGTAGTTGAGAAAAGGGGGGTAGGATAAAAATAAAACAGATTGCCCAGCTCCGCAGACTCTCCCTGGTGCTCTTCTTTTCTCCCTGCACCGTTCAATCTATACTCTGTCCTTGCCTTTTGGACTTCTTCATTCACAGGAATGGAGCCTCCACAAAGAACCGAACATTTGCAAATATTGTTACAAACCTGGGCGGGCCAAAAATGTCACCAAAACGACACAGAATGGATCAGGAGGCTGTGCATATTTTGTTGTAGGAGACAGACTATAAGTCAAACTCAATGAGAAAGCAGCTTTGTATTTAGAAGCACTGAACACGTCACTCTTCTAGCAACAGTATTTTCTGACAGCCATGGGCCTGAGCAATCAGACTTGCAAATGAAACTTTTCCTCCTGCTGACCAATCACAAAGCAAACCCAGTTGGTTTGCAAGATGGGGTTGGAGACAAAAGGCTGTGCTATGATGAACAGCCATCTTTCAATATTTCATGGAGATCTGTTTATAAATGTGAAGTTGCTGTCTTCTCTAGTTCGACCCTAAAAGTCCTTAATTTCAAAGCATGAGACAGAGATTGGATCGATCCCTCTTACAGAGTTTGCTGTTCAGGTTCCAAGCAATGATGAAACACCGTTAACTCCGTGGTAAGAATGATAATCATTCTGTCTCCTTGTTAAAAGATGTTTCATCGCCTTGCCCGGGAGGGACAAGTCACTAGAAATGAGAACTTTTCAGTTAACCCAAATGGGAAAAAACACAAAAAAGACATTAACTTTTAGAGGTTTTTTCCCCCTTCATCTTCTTCACCACTCATCTCTCAGTTTACCAGGATGTGTTTAATCAAATACTGTTGTGAAGTCTGCCGTGCCAGACAGTGTGATTGGATGAGTGCCAGACAGAACCTGAATAGGAAAATCCGGAATGAAAGAAACAGAGCCGGTCCCTCTCCTGTTTCATGAAAGGACCTGTACCCAAAATACCTGAGAACGAATGGCGCACCCCCTCGAAACAACCTGAAATGAATGAAATCGAAATGTGTGCCCTGGGCACATTCCTACCAATCACCACCCCCACCTTTTAAATAGCTACTTCATCTCTCTCAATAAATCACTCATGATTAATTTAATTTTGTTTAATGTGAATTTTACCATCAATAGATTAATTTGTAAATGTTATTTCCTACAAAGGAAACCTTCTCATAGTGACAGAAAGGAAGAGCCATGGTTCAATGTACACCTTTTTGGCCATCTACATTCCTTTTAGTGTGCTGGCTGGATAGCTCAGTGGTTTAGGTAGGGAGTTCAATTCCCCACTGGGTCTCCTGGGAGAAGAGCCAGCCTGTGTAGCCTTGGGCAAGCTGCACAAACCCCCTTGTGAGAAGAAGGGGATGGTAAACCACTGCTGAGTATTCTCTATCTGGAAAAATTAAATACTTTAAGTGGAGGGACAAGCAACTGGGCAACACAGAAAAATGCTACCTAGATGCGTAACAGTGATTACTCACCTTATGATCCATCGTAAGAATGAAAATCCGTCTGCTTGCAGCAAGATCTGTTTAACTACCAGCAAGACTACTGCAAGACTCCAGCCTCTCCTCCTATAGAGTTACTCCAGTCTTTTTTTGAAAAGGGTTAAGACTTTCTGCTGCCATGGAGTTTCCGCATGATTGTATCGACATGTGATTGCATCAAAAGAATGAGCCAAGACAAGTAAGAACAAGACAGCAATTGCACTATCTAAATAGATAATGAGGAAAGATATCAAAAGAGTGGTATTGCAAAAAAAATTTAAGGAGAAACAGGAACTATGCGGTGAAACACAACGATTTCCCCCTAAATTTTGGAAAGATGTAGCAACATCTCTAATGGGGATTTACTTGACCGTTTGGAAAGGAAGTGAAATGCCTTGAAGTGGGGCATCTACTTGACTGTGTCTTTTGGACTGAATTCAACATCTCCACTATTTGCTGCTCTATGTCAAGGCAAAGGCAAGAGAGAGAAGCTGTAAACTTGAGCAGCAATGCATCGTCTCTGGAGAGAAACCTTGAAGTTCTGGATGGCATGAACCTCAGTTGGGTTGAGTTCTAAAGATCCCTCCCTAAAGGGGCTGTGCCCACCTGGAATGGATATGCTGAGAGTAGGGAATATCCTTGTTCTGAAATCGGCTGTGAAGCTGGGTTCTTCAACCCTGACAGGGGTTCCTATTGTTTCTACCCAAATAATGACCAGGAACACAAAAGCACTACATTCTGCTTGTGGGTCTGTGATCTGATGTGTGGATCTGGGCAGTTCCAAGCTAGATCTGCAGTGGCTGCAGAATAAAGAGGAAATAAAAGGGACATGTAGATCCTTCTCACCAATAACTGAAATACATAAAAATACATTTTGGCATACCTGACCACTAGAGGTCATTGCTGCTACATAGAAAAACTCCAGTACTTTTGGTTCTAAAACAGGCAACTGCTAGGGACACCTTTTTTGCTTCTGCACCATCCGATAAACTCATAAGGAAAGTGCAAACATGAAGGGTTTTTATATAATGTCCAATCTCATGGTGAATCACTGATGCCTAATGACAGCCGTTCCATCTCCTTGTTGCTTTTCTTTCACGCTGCTTGCCTACAACAAGAAATTGGCCAAAATTCCACAAAGGAGGAGGATAATGGCTAAGTTACAAAAGTTTGGGATTCTGTATCATCAGAAAAAACCCGTGTTCGTACTTCTTTGTCTATTTGTGTTTTCTTTTGAAAACATTTTCTTTATTAGCTCAGTTTCAACAAGGTTATCAGGTGACTCTAACGTACCCTTTCATTGTCGTTCTTACTGTTTTGGCTTGTATATCACCCCATTGTTCTAGAGCACTCTCTAGAATGTGATTTACGACATAATTATGCAAGGAACACTTTTTCCCACTGTGAGCCGGACACTCATTTTAACTGACCTTGAAAGGCTGAGTCAACCTTGAGCTGGCTACCTGAACCTGTTGGAATTAAACCTCGATCATGAGCAAAGGCTGAAATGCAGTACTGCAGTTTAACCATGTTGACGAAGAGCCGTGGGGCTCTTCGTCAACATCCATTATTTTGTATATTTAATACATAATCTAATACTTGCTTACTCTTTTCACATGAACATAGCTTGACAAAAGTATGTGCTGTCTTCCTTCCTTCCTTCCTTCCTTTCATTCATTCATTCATTCATTTTTATTCTGTCTTTTCCCCCAAATGAGCTCAAGGTGGCATGCCTGGGCTCTCTTCTGTCCCGCATCATTTTCACAACACCCATGTGAGGTAGGTCAGTTACAAAAACACATACAGACAGAGAAAGAGTGGCAGGCCAAAATTATCCGGTGAGCTTCACAGCTCAGTGAGGACTTGAACCCAGATCCTTCACCTCTCAGTGCAGCACTCTTAAGCATTATACTACACGACTCTTTGAGGCTGGCATTACGAACATACTGTACTTATCTGGCAATCAGATGTACTCAGTTGGGCTCAATTCTAAGTAAATATGCATGGATTATATTGTCAGGTGCCAGGGACGTGGTGGCGCTGTGGGCTAAACCGCAGAAGCCTGTGCTGCAGGGTCAGAAGACCAGCAGTTGTAAGTTCGAATCCACGCGACGGAATGAGCACCCGTCGCTTGTCCCAGCTCCTCGCCAACCTAGCGGTTCGAAAGCATGCAAATGCGAGTAGATAAATAGGGACCACCTCGGTGGGAAGGTAAACAGCGTTCCGTGTCTAAATCACACTGGCCATGTGACCACGGAAAGATTGTCTTTGGACAAATGCTGGCTCTATGGCTTGAAGAGCGGGATAAGCGCCGCCCCCTAGAGTCGGACACGACTGGACAAAAATTGTCAAGGGGAACCTTTACCTTTACCTTATATTGTCAGGTACTTTGTGCTGAGCAACCCTCCTCTGCACTATCTTTGAGGATCAATAATCCCATTACATACACTGTTAAACACAAAGACACACATACACACAATTTGCAGATATGAACAGGCACTGTTACTCACACACATACACGATATGTGGCCACAATCTATATAAACACAGAGGTCTCACTGAAATCAGCAGGGCTGAGGCTTCTATCTCACACACATCTCCCCAGAAGTAAAGTCCCTTGAACGCCACGGGGGATACATTTTGAATAAACGAATATGGCATTCCACTGTCAAGTGCATGTAGCATGGCATCGCAGCTAGCCTTCGAACGAAAAGATCCAAGCAAAAGCAAACACAAGTCAGCAAGTGGAAACCCAGCTCCCTGGAACCAGACTCAAACCGGCAACCACTGCAACAATTTCCATTGTCA